GAGTTTCTAATTCGTATGAATCTACAGACTTGGATTTTGACTTCACAAACATGTAATTTGAACCAGTGCTGTATTCAACATACCACGTGACACACAAAAATCGATATTTATCTGTTTTTTTTAATATTTACTTTTAAATTAACAAATTGAGTAATGTTTAGTTCTAAAATTTGAATTATAATTTACAGTTTGCTACCAAACTTATTAACATAAGTTCATGAAATAGTAGTTCAATAAATTTTTGAATGTGAGTCAACAAACGAGATAACATGGCCTATCACCTGTTACCTGTATAGAAAGAGTTAATGAGAATTAAAACTATCAGTATCATTCAGAGATATTGAAGTACTACATTTGAATAATGAAAAAAAGTTATGATAAAAGTTAGAACTATATTGAAGGTGTGTGTCATGTATTATGCTATTGAGGTTGTTGTTGAATTATTGATGGATAATATCAATAATTGCAATTTGAAGTGGAGAACTACACTTTTGGTCTAGTTTCTATGGTAATTGTGTTACTTGATTTTAGAGTCTGTGACTAAATCTTGAGCAAAGGTACCAAAACCTTTCTTCACAGTGTAGAGTAGTTCGCATAATATTTAATATGAATACAATATACTCTGAAAATGTCCTGATCCCTGCCTCCTCACTTCGAGGATATTTGTTGATATTTATTTACTCAGAATATTAATCCAGAAGAAACCACAATACTGAGACAGTGAACAAGGACATTTTAAAGAAATATTATAAAACTGATTTATTTGTTTTAGTTATTTTTATTTTGCATTGGGATTTTAAACAAGCTGATTTCAGGTACAAACATAAGTGCCTTGTGAAATATCAATATACTGTTTTATTTTCTTTAAAAGCATTATTTAAAGAGAAAAAATTACATTTGCTTACTAAAATAGTCTATGGTAAAGGCTATATGGTTTTTACTTTTTGTTTTTAGGAATGATGAAAAGGAAACTGATTCTTTATCAGACACTGACAGTGAAAAATACCAGAGTCTTGATGAAGAAGAAAAGAAAACAAGCCCTTTACCAAGGAAAAAATTTGAGTGGAATGACCATATAAGGTTTAGTATTGTAAAAGCCAATGAATTGATCTTTAAGATGTATACATTTTTTATTTGTTATTTTTCAACTTAAAGCTTCATGGCTTAGGTTGGAAAGTAATGATAAAATTATAGATCCTGTAGATTGTATCTCTTACAAAGCCAAGCTATAACTGTAGGAAAGGTTAAATGTAAAAACTGGGTGCCAACATGCTGTAAATATTTTTTGCAAAAGCAAATATATATTTAAAAAAATGTAGGAGATATTAGTAGGTTTGTAAGAGTTAACAGATGTAACTTTTACTAATGTAAATTCTTGATGAAAGTGATCAGAAACCCTTTCTTTAATGTATATTTTGTTTCTTCTTCAAATGATCAAACAATTAGCAAAGTAGCTCTTACTGCAATATTTGGGATTTGTAAGAAAACTTGTACTTTAAAAAAGGTATATAAAAGAAAGAAAAAAAGAAGAAAAAATTTTCACTAGGCTAAGGCTAGCTATATATGTATATAACAGTAACCAAATTGGCTACTAACTGAAAGTTCACTAGCCAAAATGCAAAAGAAAAAAGCCAATGGTAGATGAAATACATTCAGTACTATCTCTCCCTGTTATGAAAATATTCAGACATAAGTTTCATCCATTAATTTTTTCTAGACATTTTATGTATGAATATGTATTTTCAACCACTTATCTTGACTATGAATATTGTTTTTATAAGACTTCTAGATAACAACTTTTACACATGTAGATTCAACAATTGAAGAAGTTTGTTCAGTTGCTTCAAATCAGTTTTTTAGAAGGAATGAGAGAATGATGCAAGTATTGTTTGGGGAGTTTAATGTTTCCATGAGAATGTTTCATTGTAACCAGCTAATCACATTGGGTGAAGCTAGGAAAGAAACATTTATTAGCCAACTGACATTTCTAGTTGGCATTTATGTCACTGACTAGTCCAAGGAAATTTTTCTCAAATTGTAGGTGTTTTGTTCAAGGAAATTATGGTAGCAGTAAAACTGTGCTGGATATTGAGGAGTATCACACATGCAAGTGATGTTTCGCATGAATCCACAGATTGGTGATGAGTCCTCACAAATGCTGGTTACTACAATGATCACTAGCTAAATTCTAGGCTCAAAAGTTCAAGGTTAGAGGTTGATAGTGAATGTTTTAGGCCTATTATACTGTATTATTTGTAAGCTAACCCCCCTGAAGTATAATATTATCCATTTTGTCAAATTTTAATTCATTCCCCCCCAAATTCACCACCCCCTTCCCACCCACCCACGCACGCTCAACATTTATGGGGAAATCTCACTATAGTGATCAATTGATAAGCCTTTAATGATATTTTGTTGCACAATTGCACATCTTTCAATGGGATTCCCCCAAGTTTAAAATAGCAGAAAATTCAAGTGTAGTATACGTTTTTATTCTCTTTTATTATCACAAATGCAGGTTTAAAATTTTATGGTATATCAAAAATATGAAATAGAAAATGTGACACTTCATAAAAATTGGTGTTTTTATGTTTTTCTGCCAGTTTATTTGGTACTCTTGCTAGAGGCTTAAAAAGTTAGTTTGAAGTCCTGTATTAACTGGTAAAAAAAGGAATATGAGCACAGTAGATACAAATTACTTATAAGCTTAACTGTAACATCAAAATAAGAGAAAATATGGATATCATGGAGCAAAAAATGTTAATTGTTTAGAAGTTTTTACGGTTAATTATAATTCACAGTATTTTGGTATTACAGTGACATTACATAGTACATAATAATGTACTGCAATTAAGAACTGTGTATCGCCAGTGGAACCATGTATAATAAATCTCTTGCAGTATTTAGTTTCTAAGGTACACTTTTCATTGTTTGATGCATTTAGAATATTAATAGATTTTAAAACTTTTTATAGTTATGTAAAAGTAGTTTCCAATTGTTAGAAACAAGCTTTTAGAATTGGGTATGTGTGCTCTTTAACATTATATAATGAAATATATAATTAGCAGAAAGATATGTAACCATTTCTAATTTGTTAATATTGAAATACATGTTTCCAATTTTATTTCAAAGATTAAAACCATTCAGTATAGTAAAAGACCAGCTATTCTTTGAGAAAAAAACAGGAATAAAACATTACAATCACCAGTGTTGGAGATGTTCACTCTATGGAATTACCATGTGAAATGATTAGATGGATTTAGTTCACTTTTTCTCTAGTCACCAAAAACTTTCATCACTAAGTTTGTATTTGCTTTTCTAGGTCAGGTAAAAAGTTGGCTTACTTGAAAGTCTGTAGAAACTTCTAGAAAGTTCTTTAAGTATTTGTTGTTTACCTTATTTGATGAGACATTATTATCACTTTCACAGAATTGAGCACATGTATAAAAAGATCCTCTGACTTTAGTCAAGTCCCACAGCAATCCATTACAGATCATATAGTGGTTAGGCTAATAAAGTTATAGAGATAATTCTTAAAATTTTGCTTCATAATGCTGATAAAATTTTATTTGATACAATTAAATAATGTTTTTCAGGGAGCTGCTCTGTGATGCTGTAAGAATAAAACTTAAATGTTATGAAGTATCTAAAATGAGAACCCAGTCAGCTGAAGATTACTTAAGATTGTTTTTAAAAATGGAAGTTAAGAGACTGTGGCCTCCTGGGTGGATGCAAACACGGTAATATTAATAAGTCGTCCTTTATTTTCTCTTATGATGTATTTTGTCCTTTGTTTTCCTTTATGATGTATTTTATCCTTTGTTTTCCTTAATGATGTATTTCTTCCTTTGTTTTCCTTTGATTTATTTCATCATATGTTTCATTTTCTGATTTATTTCATTCTTTCTTCTTTTATAATGTATTTGGTGAAAAATATTTTTCTCCAAAATTATTAAACAGTCTTAATACTATTTAATAGTTTAAAAGGAGGTTCCATTAGTGCACATTACTGATAGTTTATTATATTCCTGTGTCTTAACTAAGAGCTAAAACAATTTATCAGATGTCATAATGGAAGAAAATATTTTGTATTTTGCAATTTTTATTGCTAATGAATGATTATTCATACAGATAAACTTATTTTAGTAAAATTAAAGTGTAGAGCTCCTCCTGTATGTTTTTTATGGGTCATACTCCTATTCTAGCATTGCTAATATGAGGTACAGAATAGCAACAATTTTATTGTAAAATTTCTTTTGTTATATTCTAATAGTGAAACAAAATATTTAAATTTATTATCTAATATAATTTATATTACAAAAACACTTGGAATTTAGTCAATAGTGGATCTGCATCTAAAATTAGACAGTAGGTTAAGAGTAGCAGTACCAAAACTATTTTTTGTTTTGATGGTTTTCAGTGATTGGATATTTTACTTGTCTTTTCAGGTGTATTCAACTTTGTCTTTAGGTATAATCATCAGCACACCAGTGCATATTTGTGTGTACAAGATTTTGTTCTCCTAGTACTTTAATATGATGATAATCTTCACAAATTTATTTTATTGTTCATAGAGAAAAAAACTTCTTAAAATGAACATATTTATGACATATTTTCATTGTACTGGATAAACTGTAATTTATACATTTATGAAACACTCAATGTTAATTATTTTCTAAATTTTATCCTGACAACTGTCACATTGTTACTTGATTGACATTATCTGGTTGATTTTACAACATAAACTGCTATACTAATGATTGAACATGATATTAAATTCTAGAAAAAGTTTCATGCTGATGATAGTTAACAATTAATTTCAATTCAGTATAATACAAATATTCTTTAAAACTGTGGAGTTCTATTCTTAAACTGTGATGTTTTCACATCTAATGTCACTGGTTTGATATTAAAATTATCCAAGAATTAGCAATCAGGTTAAACCCAATCTTATGGTCCATTAAGAATTGTGATAGAATAAGAATGTAGAAGTATGTACAAAATCAGTCAGTAGTCTGGTTAATTTAAGGTGGGCTTGTCTAAACCATGTATTAAATTGGCATTGTTCAGGAAGAAGTGCAATAATGATAACCACTAAAACACATGTGCTATAGTAGTATAAGTAATACAGATATAACAAAAAGAAGTATGTGTATCTATGTATAAAAGGCTTAATTAATGTTTGGAGGGTGAACTCAGTTACATATATAATTTTCAAAGGTTGAACAGTAAATTTTTATTAGTTTTTCATTAAAAGTCTAATGTGATGTTTTTAAGTACAATGATGTGATTTTATTATTTGGTTTACAAATTAACTAGTGGTTTATACTAAATTATTTAACTTTGTATCACGTATCATATTGGACATATAAATTCTATAAAGTTATTTATTTTTAACTATTTTCCTCTGAGAAACTGACAATGATTTTTATAAATTCTATAGGATTCTGTTCAAGGAGAGCAGCAGTGTTCACTCTTATCTCACGTAAGTTTCCTGTAATTACCTAAGTATAAACAGATTTTATTATCTACATTTTAATGTTGCTTTTGAGTTGCAATTTAACAGGATCCTTGTATTCTTTCAAAAGTTCTATAGGTCAGATTTTAGTTTTACAAACAACAGAGCAACAAATTATAAAGTCTAAATCTGTAACAGTAGATTGAAAATGTGTTTACATTGATGAGTTTGATCAGTGTTTGTGATAAATTTGCATGAATGCCTAAAATCTAACAGCTTTATAACATTCCTCTGATATTTGAAGTAGAGTTTATATTTCCAAAGATCTTGGCATTAAACAGTATTTTCTATGATTGTCATAATGCTTTAGTTTTTCATGTAAATATGATTATTTTGATAGATATTCACTATGAGTACAGACATCAAAAAATAGTTAATTTATTTGTTATTGTCCTATGCTAAACCTTTTTGTATTGTATTTATATTCAGTTGATATTGTTTAAATTTTCAGAATAATAAAAATGTCAGATTTTGTATGTGACTGTGAGTACATTTAGCTGCTTTAAAGTATAGTTTTCAGTATGGGTACTTTGTTATGCCAAATAAGATTCTTTAAATAGAGCTATTTTTGGTTAACTATTTCATCATTATTTGAAATATATTGCTATAATTAATACTTAATTAATATATTAGTGTTTTTTTAATTATTTGATTTCCAAACTAATATTTTAGAGATTTTTCTAAAGTAAGTATTATTTTTTCAATAACATGCCGAAGTTATAGATTCAAAATTTCAACAGAAATGAAATTTAGTTGTTATGGATGTTTATTTGTTTATGATTTCAGTTTTGAAATATTTATATTAAAACAGATAAGTTTGTCATTTGTAAGAATATTTACCATAATTACTTACATAAAAAAATAATAACACTTTAAAAGTACTTCCAACAAGTAATCTGTCAAAGCTTTGATTTAACATGTTTTTTTTTAATGTGATTTATCAACTTTTTTGATTTAAATATGTTTTTTTACCATTATAAACATAGTAGCCTTATTTGTTATGAAAGAACTTTGCTCTGTATATCCTTAGTTAGGTATTACTTCTTTCTTTAACAAAATAATGTCTATTGACTGAAGTTAAAAATCTTGTATATATTGAAAATCATGGTGTCTGAGCATTCATCTGTCTCCTGTTTATGGCAGCTGCTACAAGTGCTGTTTTTTAAAAGCTGCGCATGCAGGCAAGGCTCAACATTCACCTTTGAAGTGATGGGAGAACAGGCATGAATAATGTTGATGTTAAGTTGTAAGGAATTAATCACACTATCATTCGCAATTCAAAATGTGATGTAACTTGGAGAATTAAAATGTAGATTTACCGTATGTTATTGTTAAGTGGCTCTTAGCATGACTGAAATGCTCAAAAATTACTTTTCACAGTGGGTGGTATAAGTAGCTCAGAGTAGTGACTCTGAGTGAAACCAAAAGTGCAACAAGTAATATGTGCACAAATTTGATATTCTTTTCATCAAGATATTCACTAATTTGGATTTGAAGAATTGCACTTTTTTTAAAATCATTTTATTTTTTCTCCTAAAAGAGAGGAGATTTATTTTTATGACTTGAATAAAAACAAATCACCATCATATTGAACTTCTAATTCTTCTGAAGTCTATTATAGTGTCATATTTGGTGCTTTTCTAATCTAGTCCATCTAGATTCTAGAGTAATGTTGTTTATCTTTGGAAAAATATCAAAAATCTTTGGGTTATTTTGTGATCCTTCTTTTTCATTTTCTTTGTAAATGCTGATGCATAATTGGAACAGGAGTACCTTCCTGAAGAGATTGTATATTTTGATTTTAAGTAAATCTGTATTTGAGTAAATTTTAGAATAAATAATCCTCAGCAGGTATAATGATTCTTTCATTTACTTTCCAGAAGTAGATCAAGGAAGTTAATTGCTTGTAAGAAATTTCCAACACCAGAAAGTGTCGGTGTGTTGCCTTCAAGTACTGGAAAGCTAGCATTTCATTGTGGAAGTGATCTTGGTCTGCAAGAAGTTGTGTATTTAGGTCCATTTCATACTGGAATTGGGACAGTCAATTCTGAAGTTTTGTGCTCATCAGCAGGTGACAACAAAGTGGGATTAGAATCTGAGAAAAGTGTAGCTAACCCTGTAGCTTTGTCTGAAAACTTAATAAACCCAAGAACCTCATCAGCAATTTCCTCTTCTCATCACCAACCACTTGTGTCTACTTGTGAAAAGCCAGTACTAGCTACCTCCGAGCGTTCTACATCCAGTGCTTTTGATGTAAGAAGTACCAGTTCTTTGCCTTGTAAGCAGCAACTTATGGCTAGCCAACTGTTGGTAGAAGCTACAAATATTAAGTCACTCCCTGATATTGAAACTAAGACAACCATTTCTTGTACAAGTACAAAAATTCCAAAGACACAGAGTAATGTGAATGTTTATCAAATGGCCCAGAAAGCTTTGTTAAATGATAATGTAACATTAGGTAAAGATATTACTGTTCAGCTTCTTCCTTTAGACACTCCATCCACAAAGGTTACTAATAGTGGTCAAAAGAGGAAACCAGATATTAATAAACCCCAGGTTATTTCTGGTAGTGAGTTTCACACTGTTCCATCTAATAATGAATCTCTTTCTTCTCCCAAGAAGGAACAATCAACATCCTTCCAAACAAATGTTATAAAGTTTACTGATGCAGCAACAAAAGTTTTACAGAAAAGCACATCTCAAAATTCAATGGCTTCAGACATCCTAAGCCATATTATCTGTGCTAGACTTGCCGATTTTCCTAATACCAACACAGCTTCAACTAATATCAGACAGTTAACTCAAATGGTAGACAATGTACAGGTTCCTAATCCACCAGTAGTTTCACATCCTTCATCAGCACAACTTGGGCATAATTTAATTTTAAAGCAATCTGGGCAATCATGTTCTGAAATTCCCCAGTCTTTGTCTATGCAAAGTAGTGGTTTGACTGGCAATACTAATAATGTTAGCTTACTGAAATCTTCTGTGAAAACTTTTTTACCTCAGCTGGATGCCATGTCCACTGAAATGAAGAACAAGTTGCAAATTGTATCAGTTTCTCAAAAGCAGTTTCGAAAAGAACATGGATCTGTCAACAGACAACAAGAAATTAATGCCTCTAAAGATGTAAAACAACCTGAGGCTCCAGATGTTGGTTGTATGAGCTCTTTGATTAACCAGCTTACTGGAATTGAAAAAGAGGAAAGTGAAAGGTTGGCAATGTCAAACCAAGCATTTGGGTTTTTAGAAGTTTTCAAAAAGTCTTTGGAAAGTGGTAGTGTCAGTAAACATATTCCAACTACTATACAACCAAGTGCCAGTTCTGGATCGTCAGTACATTTTAATACTCGAAAACAAGCATGCAACTGGCCTACAAGACCAGTGAGCTCTACCCCTAAAAGTACAAGTAAGACTGATGCTTCCTCACAAAAAAGTGTCAATATTTGTACTAATCAGTCATCATTTGTACTACCACAATTGTCTTCACAGAACATTATGGCAAAACTGATTGATAATACTATAGTAGAAAGTTTAAAAACTGATAAAAAGCCAGTGTTCACATCAGGAATTACTTCAGGTACTTATGAAAAAGTTCACAATCTTGGTTCTAAAAAGCCACCCACAACGGAGTTTATTTTTGAGGGAATGAAAGGTTTTCCTATTCCTTTACCATCTGTGAGTACAACTACGTTACTTCAGCCTGCTACACAAACAAGCTCTGTGTTGTCTAAAGGTTGTGTTGCATTGTCAGAACCAGTTATTAAAGAACACAGGAAACCTGATTTTGCAACAAAGAGATCTGTGAAAAGAGGCAATATATCATCTAATCAGCAAGATGTTTCGCAACAGCTTGTAGCAGACCAAGCAAGACCAGCAGTTCCTCAGACAGGAAGATCCAGTAACAGGAATAATATGGTATTGTGAATATAGTTTTTAAATAAAAATTAACTGTATAAATTGTAATTTGGTAAAATTGTAAGAGAGGAATAGGATGTATACTTTATACTTGATTCACTACTTTGATTAAATTTTTTTTTTGCAAATCAGCATCAATGACGATATTTGAAAGTGTGAAAATGATCTTGTGTATAGGGATTTGAACCAGAAAAAAGAAAGAAAGACAAACAAACATTTTTTAAGAAACATGAACAAAAACAGATATTATATTCTGGTATTAAAACAATATACAAGATTTTGTCAGTTAATAACATTTTTTTTTTCCATTTTCTTTTAGTCTGTTATCTCTATTTCTTTCCATTATTTTCAGATTTATGGCAATTTAGAAAAAAAAGCACTTTATTGTCAATAAAATATACAAGATTTTGTCAATTAATATCATTTTTTTTTTCCACTTTCATTTAGTCTGTTATCTCTATTTCTTTCCATTGTTTTCAAATTTATGGCAATTTAAAAAAAAGCACTTTATTTTCAATAAACTTGGCATAAAATGTAGTTTATAAGTTAAGTTTTAATACTGTCAGGCAGGTGATAGCACTGTCTGTATAGGGGTGGCTTGAATTGTTCATCAAAATGATATTTTAAATATCTCCTTTAATATGTCATAAGAAATTTACAATACTATACAGTGTTTCCTTTTATAACAATATCTATGTAATGACTTAGTCGCAAGTTCTAGGGATATCTGTAAATATCATAGCAAAATAGTTTGAATTTCTTGTTCTTCTATTGTGTGCTTCTTTTTTATCACGTAACTCAAAAATCAAAACAATGGTGTCAGTCAATTTCATTGAGGTGACATAATTTCAAATGGAGTATCCTCTTTTATAAGTATTATTAATAACTAATAGTAATTAAAATCATAATTGTAGTGTAAATGATAAAAAAAGTAAAGAAAAACGTTTTCAAAAAGGAAGTAAATGTAAGGATGACTAATATGATAATATCAATTCTACAAAAACAATATAAAATATAAACACGATAGCAGGGATGGAATTTGCATCATTCCTTCATAATAGCACAGGGAAGAATTAACATATAGTAGTATTATACTACTATATGTTAATTCTTCCCTGTGCTATTATGTAGGAATGATGCAAATGCTATCCCTACTATCTTGTTTGCATGGTTTTTTGAAGGATCGATATTAGCCATCTGTATTTACTTCCTTTTTTTGAAAATATTTTCTTTACTTTCTTAGTTTTGATTTCTCAAGTTAAAAAAGAAATATTTAAATAAATTCTCAATCTTCAATTTCTGTGTCACATGATGCCTCTCTGCTTTAAATTCTCTTTAGTTTTTCTTTCTTCCCTTATATGGGTTTCAGAATGTCCACCAATTAGAAACACCAACTATAGATATTGAGAGTCTAGAATTTGAAATATGAACCTCCCACATTCTTTATTTTCGGAGATATCAATAAATTTATTACCCTCGCCACAGAAGCTTTTCAATGGTACATGTTTATAGCCAATAAAAATGGCCATTTTGTAAACTGAGTGATTATAACATTTTTGTTTGAGTTTATTTTAGTAAAATCACCATTTCCCAAGTAGATTTTATTGAGGGTAGTTTCAAGTCAGTATTTTAGTAAGTAAAGAAATTTGTTTAACCTATTTACAGATTAGTTAGAAAGCCAGATGAATTATAGTAATTTCGAGGAATTCTGTTTTACTGTTTGAATTATTGATTGCATATTCAAATGCATGTTTGAATGCTGTATGGATTATTTTTTGGACAAACAACGTAGAAAGTACAAGACTTATGAAAGCAGATCAATCCCTCTAGCTAAAAAACAAATTACAACACTAAAGAAAAGTATAGCTTATAACAGTATATTTTTTTTATTTATCGTTATATATTTTTCATGAAAGTAACTAAAATGTAAGAATTAAAAACTGTTGGGTTAGATAAGTAAACATTAAATAAGTTTCTCTGCATAACTTGAGCAGTATTTTTTTCTGTTGTAGAATTTGATTAAATTAAGCAGTGAATTCATGCCTGGGAATTAATGGGGCAATGGAAAATAAGCTGGGAGGAGGAGTATTGATACTATAGATTACACCTAATGCAGGTGCCATGTTTTTTGTTTGCAACTTGTACGTATTACTGTTAAGCTGGGCAAAAGGTGATTAGTGACTTGTCTTGATATATGTACATATCAATTTAAGAATGTGAATCACAAATTCTTGTTTGAAAACATATATTCATTTTCTTTACTTTTTATTGTTATATCCAAAATAAATGTGTAGGAAAATTGCACATATGAACACTAAATTCATCGAATGTCTAACAGTGATAATAGATTGTTCATGTTTAATTGATTACTTCGAAAGGATGTTTGTTTTACATGGTGTTTTCAGTGAGATTGTTGAGAATTTTTTTTTAAATTTATAAACTTGAACTGGGGCAAAAGAAAGTAATTTTCATTAAGGGTGCAGCATTGTTGTTTATATATATATATAGGAAGTAAGTCCATTTATTAATTCAGATAGATAAAGTCTACTGATTTCCTTTCAGTGATGATTTATTTGGAGTGTACTGTATTTAGTGTTTTTTTTTGCAATGTTATTCAACAAAATACACATACGTGAACACTAATACTTGGCTAGAAAAAAATTTAACTCTTATTTTATTTTGTTTGAACTGGAATGAAACTAAATGAGGCATTTGTGACTTTTGTAACAGGAGCTAAAATTTTGGTTATGTTTACAGCTGAACTGGAATGAAAATATTTTGGTTCAAGTCATGACTTATAAAAACAAGAACTAATAGTATACATATGATTAAAAGACATGTTTTATTTAAAGTCCAATTAATTTCTAAAAAATAATCTTTAAACTAGATGGGAACTGGACAGGCATCCTACAGTTAATATAATTTTGGCAGATGATGGTTTGCTTCTAAACAAAAGTTAGTAAAGAAAAGAAAAACTAAATTGGATTGTTATGTTTAGGAGATATGATCCATTTCTTTTATATAGCATTCAGAACTTTTAGCAATGAAGTGCTGTTTGACATCAGCCTTGATGTAGTTTAAATCATGGACTTGTTTAGTGGACCAGATTGTTGTGAACTGTTTTATATTTGGGATTTATTTATTCATTAAAGCATTCAAAAAGCAACTTTCACAGATGTTTTTGAAACCATTCTCTTCTGTTATACATTTAACACAGGATCTTTCTCAACTAGAGCCAAAGTAGTTTTTCTTGGATATCAGAGCAAGGAACAAAAAGTTCGGGTAATTGTTTCTTGGAAAGGCTTAATCCAAATGTGCGATCCACATGATGTTAGTTATTTCAGTTGGGAGTTATGAACAATGAAAGAAAGATGGGTTTGAAGTGACTGCACCAACTTACCAGCAAAGGTCATGCACACAAATTGATTACATCTTTTTCTTGATTCCAAAGACAAATTATGTGACCTCTTTCATTGTTTTTGAGGTTATAGACTTTGTTCTTGATCTTCTGATATGACAAAAGGCTACTACTACTATCACTACTGTCATTATCAGCACCAAACCTGTTTTTGAGCTCTGCTGTAGCATCTTTGGGCTTGATAGATGAACTTGCCTCATCAAAGGCTGCCAAAAAGTCCATCATGATTGCAACAACAGTGGCTGCACATGCAGGTGATCAAGGGAATAATGGTGATTGATGATGACATGCCAAAAAGTAGCAAAGTTCCAGTCATGGTCAGCAGAGTTTGGAACTATCTGCTGAAGATCTATTGGGCTCTGGTCTGAAAAACATATGCAACAATGGGTGAAGAAGAAAAAGACTCATGAAGTGGACCCATCTATTACATAACAAGAAGTAGTGTCATTAAATATGTGGTTTCTGCTAATGATTTGGCCAGCCATAACTTGGTCAGTTTTTGTCTGATTTGGAAGCTGATATGTAATCATCATAAGTTTCACAAATATTGGATAAATCCCAGACTTTTTTTACTTCTAATCTCTGCCATCGAAGCTCCTTTGGATGAGGGAGAAATTCTGTGTTAATTGAAATCAAATAAAATATTAAATTTTGCTCAAATGTCACAATACATTTTGGTTAAACTAGCTGATACCAGTTAAAATTGAAGTGTCTTGTCATGAATTCTATGTGGTTTTTTCCTTTTATTTTTTTATTATAAAAGAATGTTTACATTTGCAATATGCTGTAATAAATTAGTATTTCATGGTTGCATTTCTATTCTTGGCATTTTTTAAATTGTAGGAAAAGAACAATAAACAACTTTAAAATTGCAAATGCTAAGTATAAATGGCTGTTTGATATTTAACTTTATCTTGGCAGTTAAACGTTTAAACAGCTGCCTTTTATTAAGATATTGAAATTGCAGATATTTCTTTTAAAATATAAATTTTTTTATTATTTTATCTTATTCCTTGTATATAAAATATAAATTGGATATAAATTGGAAAACCATCACAGCACATATTATAGTTAGGAACTTCTTATACAATTGACTAATGTATATTTGAATTGAAATAATGCAAAATAACATTAATAAATGCAGACCAGTATAGCAAACTGACTAGAAATATTGAATGTTGTAAACTAACATAGCAGATAACTAAAGTTTGTGATGAATCTTCAGTTTGGCACCTTTGTGTTGATAACATGTTAATGAGGTAAAATATGCTTAAAAATACATTAGTTTATGTTGACTTCATAAATGTTTATATTTGTATAAGAAAGCGTGTTATAAGATCCAAAGAGTTGAGTTGTTGTAACTAGCTTCTTATGTGTAGTTTCTTTTCTTAATAGTGAATTGTGTTTATATAAAAAGTAAAGGCTGGATGATGGTGTTCTCTTGGGGTTACCATGAAACAGGGTTTCCATAGATGTTTGCATGAAACACCTCTTTAAAAGATATTATTGAAACCTGTATAGAAAAAGTGTTTGTGACTTAATTCATTGTTTTAGAGCAATTTGTAAAAGAAAATTTACAATTGTTTATAAATTGCAATAAAACCTGTTAATATGACAAAGTGCCTTTAACTAGTTATTAATTGAGAGATTTTGTGTTGCAAAGTAACTTTTGCTTGTTATGATTTATTTCATAAACAAATTGTGCAATAACTCCCTATTTGCTTATAGAATTTCAAACTTCATGGACAGAAAGAAACAGTTACAGTAGCTGGAGGTCATCAAGGTCACTATCAAACTTTATCTTCCTCCGTAAACAGTAATCCTGTGAGTTACCAGACAGTAATTGTAACAACCTCTGTTGACCTGCAACATCAAACTGAACCCTTGACCATTGGTCTCCCTTCACAGAATTCTGACTTGTTCACAGTACATGTTACTAGTCACTTGAATACGCATTGTAATACTGAAGAACAAGCAACCTCAGTAAGTGGACCTGGAAATGAGCAACAACAGATTATTTCTGGAAGTTCAGCAGTGGTATCAGATGTTAGTGTAATGAAGCCTCAAACCAGTAATATAGGTAAGATTTTGGTTATATACACACACATACATATATATATACACACACACACACACACACACACACACACACACACACACACACACACACACACACACACACACACACACACACACACACACGACGACGTATACTTAATTTAAATTTAATTTACTTACTTATACGTACGTAGTA